TTTTCAGGTATAACCACAATACCTGTATCATATATTAAAAAATTAACAATAATTCCTTAATAACATCAAAAATCTAGTTAGTTTTCAAATTTCTCCTATTATTCTCAAAAGCTTTTTAAACAGTTGGTTTAATTATCCAAACAAGCTCCATGTATTGTATAAACTTGACACATCTATGTTTTATTCTATAGATGCCCTCTTTTTTTCCCCCTCGAAAATATTTGTTCAAGAAACTATGGTTTTTTTCCTGAAGAGTTTCTCACTTCCTGGATTTTGCTAATCACTCCTCTGTCCTGTCCCTGCCATTTTTGCAAACTTAGAACTACAGGCTTAATCAGATTCAGCTCTGACATTTTTGGCAAGAATACTTCATAGATGTGTTTGTACTTCCATCAGGAGTCACAAAATGGTTGTTCCTTTCTGTGGTGTTAAGACTGGTGAGCGTGTTCATTTATCCATTATAAAGTTCCCCAATAATCTTTCAGGCTGGTGGTAGCAGCCATGAATCGTCTCCTAGATCCATTATTTCAGCAAGAATTTCAAATGGTGATACTCTAGTTCTGGTACTTCTTTTTAATTATTAAGTGGAATGCCTTTATAAAGAGAACTTTCTCTCATTAACCATTTAGTTACCTTAAGATACAATTCTTACAGTTAAGGCAAGATAAATGCTGGGTTTTTCTCTTTGTTTACTTATATTTAGAATAACGGGTTGGTACCTTGACGCCTCTCAAAGGTGGCCAATGAGTACCTTTCTTTTTAAATTAAATATTATGAACCCGTGGATTTTAAACTTTTTTTGATGTTTTAACTCATCATGGTTGTTATTCTTACTGATGAGCAAATCATGTCTTTGGCCAGTGGGAGTCTCTTCAGATAGGTTTCTGACCCCAGCAGTCTTTGATAGTTTCCCTGTTATTATACTTGGTAGGAGATATTTCATATTCTTGTACATTTCATATTCTAGACCCAGAATCAGCAATTTCTCAAGGAGCACTGCTTCCTTTAATGAGAAATTGTATTTAGAAAACACAATCTGCTACTGTGTTAGTCATTGTCTCTAGGCCTTTTTAAGTATTAAAGCTAGGAATACATATTTATTAAAAAGAGAAAATATATTATGAATTTGTATGCATATTCCCAATTCAGATTTAGGATCACATATTAAGATCCCTTCTGGTAGATTTCTTATTGAAGCTACTAGTGTGGCTAAGTACAAATGGATGTTTAAAATCATGTGTATTGTCTAGTCCTGCTTCAAAGATGATGGAGAATAGGCCACTCTGGGTATCATCTATGCTTATGAAATAGGCATCCATCAAATGGATGGATGATATTTAATTTCTTAGAAATTATCTGATTTTTGCCCATGAAACTTGCCCTTTTCCTAGTATCACATGGTTTGCCTGTTGGCAAATACACTAAAGTAAATGATATTGATGACAGAGGGCCCACTATGTGCCAAGGCATGACACACATAATCTCATCTGACTTTCAAAACTTCTGGAACGTTTATGGTACATGTTTTACCTTTAAATCTTTGCTTGGAATTTATTTTGATGTGTGGGGCAGGGTAGGGATTTGACTTTTTCCTCAAGTCATTACTTTGTTATTTCTCCTCCATTTATTGGATGATCTTTCACATACTTATTGTCTTAAAATAACACCCTACACAGTACAATTCTTATGTGTACGCGACTCTTCTAAAATGAGCTTTCTATCCTGTTCTATTACCCTCTGTCTATTCCCGCACCTGTTCCCCACTCTTTTTTTTTTTTTTT